GTGCGGCAAGTGCGGCAACCCGATAATCGTCGACGCCGTCGAACAACCGACGCGCTGTGTACCGTGGAACTGATATATCTGCGCTCGGGTGTCTCCGGGACTCGGGACTATACGCGACGACGTCGCCGATGTAGCGGGGCGACTGGGTATTTCTGCCCCCGCGGGCGCGAGGCCGAGCCGCCGAGCCGTAGGGCGCGCCAATTGGTCGGACGACTCCTCGGAAACGTCGGGAAATGTCTCGTCCTAGTGGACGAAGTTCCTAGGAAGCGGACGGGTGTTTAAATTCAGGGATCGATGCTTTTAGGGACGCACAGAACAATAAAAGTTTTTATGATATATTAATTTCGATCAACTCCGATTAATTTGTATCAAGTAATTATTTGTTGATAGAATTATTACTTTTTTGTTGCTTGGGGAATGTGGAGAGAAAAATTAGATTGTGAATAATAATAATGATCAATTTTTTACGATTAACTTATTTGTTAGAAAATTTTTTATATTATTATTATAATCTCAGAATTTCAATGAAAATTTTACCTTTCTCAGACTTTTTATATGAATTGGAATGTTTTTCAGAAAAACTCAGGCAAAATAGAAATTAAATATTTCATTTTTCTTGTCAACCGCATCTTTGCAGAAATTTTAATAAATAATATGAGAAAATCCACGTAATAATTTGTCAGAAGTTTTCTTACACGCAGATACTTAAATATTTCGAAAATTCTCAATCCCAAGTATATCTAAGAAACTAAACATATTTTTCTCATTATTTTTCATAAAATAATAAAAATTCTTAGAAAATTTAAAAATATGAGAAATTTTTTGCCTATCTTTCACGAGATAAAAATGCGAAAAGTGAGAGAATTTACTAGAGTATCTATGATTTCATTGGTCGAAATCTAGTAAATCTGTTCACTTTTCGCATTTTCACCTCGTGAAAAGATACGTAATAGGCCCCGTATGCAACTTTCATTCCTATCCATTCCTATCCCTTTTTTATCCGAGTCGCCAATGTGATTGGCTCTTACTTTTAGAACCAACCAATCAACGCAGAGTGTTGATAAGACGAACTCAACAGTTGTGTTTGTCTGCTGAACGCGGCCATTGGTCCCCGTCTCTTTTATCCGCGAGTCGCCAATCTACCTTACTTGCGCCGTGAAAAGAACGCGCGAACGTTGAGCGGCTTTGATTTCCGAGCGCCATTCCGCCATTTCAAATCGTATCTTTTTCTACGCAGAGAAATAGCGTTCGATTAATCAATCAAGTTGAATATATACGGAAGTAAGTTTCGATTTCTATAACGTATATATCTAGTAGATAAACTTCATTTAACGCCTTACGCACACTTACGCATAACGAGCAAATCATTTCGATCGAAGATCAGCAAGTCCGCGTTTGAAATTATACGATCGCTGTACGACTTTTGGTACGACTTGCTTCCCAAGTAGAACAGCAATTAAGTCACAATAGAATCAAAATAATGTCAGAATGATGGCAAACTAACAATGTTTGACCATTTTATCGTCATTTCGACGTAATTTTGACTTTATTGTGACTTTCTGTTCTACCTGGGTTGAATCGCGAGAGAGATCAGTAGTCTCGCGAAAATTACATTTTACGATCAATTTTCAGCAAGATGTCGGAAATGATTGAATTGAACTGGATGATCTGCAACAAGTGCTTCGCCCCGTTCTACAGAGGAAAGCGTCCCTATCACGTCACCCAGTGTGGCCATATTTCCTGCCATAATTGTTTGCAGCAAGGTAAACTTCGAGAAAAATTTCTCGCGCGTTACGATCTATCTTCCACGATTTCAACCGTTCACCACTTGTGGCTTTTACAGTCGAGCAGCAATGTCCGCAATGCCAGCATGGCACCATGACGCTGGCCCTGGAGGAGCCGCTGATGCCGAGGTTGATCCCGTATTTCCAGCCGCTCGCCGAGACTCTGGAAATGCTGTTGAAAATCAACACGTTCCGGGACAACCAGATGAAAATATTGAGCCAGCGCTTCATTGAACTTGTACATAAAATTATTATCTCTTTGGTTTCTCCTAATCCTAATTTTTTGTTCCTCCTAATGATTTTGTACCTATATCGCTCCTATTACATCTTTTTATATCCTTCTGAATTTTTGTATACGACGATACGCTCTAAAGGATAAGAAGTACGAGTTGCTGAAGACCCGATATTGGCTGATCCAACGCAATTTTAAGGCATTGACGGAAAAGTACATGAGCGTGAAGAACGATAAGGAAAACCTTGAGAAGAAGCTGATGGTCTATCAGATGCGTAGAGTAACTCCGCGGTCTGCATACCGCGGGATGGAAACGCCATCCGACTCCGGTATCTCATCTGTGCCGATCTCTCAATCCGACCGATCAAGGTAAAGCGCAAAAGCTTTGAACAGCGCAAAAAGGACGATCGGTACTGCCTCTCCGAAGATCGGAGTAACAAAAACGAATCTCCTTTTGAGATTCACATAAACTTAACTGCGTAAACTGCGGTCGGTCGACTTAAAACTACAAATGTTTTTAAGCAGCAATGTATTCCTCTTCTTCTTTCTTTCAATGAAGAAAGAAGGAGAAGAAGAACGTTTTAAAGCATTTTTGTAGCATCAAGTGGACTGCAGTTATAAAAATTGTGCCATTTAATATTATAAGTTTCGACAAATGGTTACTGCTACGTATCGTCATCCCGCATAAAATTCAAATATCTGTAAATAATTCGAAATTAAAATAATATGATATTCGTTTTCATTGCTGTTATATAGGTACTCCATGGAATCGTTGAATCGTCCAAAATCCAAAACACCCATGGGGTCGATAATAGATCTGAATAGAATGGATCTGAATAGGAACGAATACAGATCTGTTGATGGTTTTCGCATACCCTTCAACCGTAAACCTGCGCGATCTATGGATACCCAAAATATGTTATCTTAAATTAGTTGGATAACATAGTTTAATACTTTTATAACAAAGAAATACATTTTTTCTCTTCGTTTATTACTCTTTCATAATTATTATTATCTCGAGTTCGCAGTGTCATTTAATTTAATTTATGTACAAGCGAGAACGCGAACTTTCCTTAAATACGATCTAAAATATGTGAAAAAGAAACGTGAATTATTTTTATTAATTGTACATTATGAAAAATTTACGTATTTAGATATACGTTTATTAAATATTATAAAATATAAATTATAATATAAAATTATTATTAAAGTTATAATGTTTCATTAAATATAGATATTAAATAATTTTTTATCAAAATATATTGAGTGTTTTTTTTTATCAGTTTCGTATTCGCAAATCAGGTACGTGTATAGTT